TTTCACAGACTGGAAGGACTTGGGGATATTTATAAACTCATATATACTGAAAATAGCAAAAATTCACTATAAATAAATGAGGCAATGGTGATTTGCTGCATTAGAAATCTGCAGTATTAGCTCATCCCTGAATACATATATATATGACCCCATTTTTGTGACATCATAAAATCTCTTTAATGTCTAGAGCAAATTGCTCTTTTTCTTTTTTTTCTGGAAGCCTTACAAAGAAATAGGAGATCGGCAGCTTACTGCATTAATGTCAATCCTTCCACTTTGATCCTGCACCACTGACTTAGCAGGGGTCCTTTGACTCTAGTCCTACACTTTCCAAAACGCCAGCTAGTCACCTGTCCATTCATTAACAGCAAAAGCTCTAATGCTGGAGAACTACCCATTCTGAACTGGGCAAGTATATATGATGAAGCTGTTTGGTATTAAATACCAATATACTGGTATAATGGCCATCTTTATGCCCTAGGCTTGCTATAGTTTCTCTGTTCATAACCTGGGCACAAATGGACACACAACATAAAATGGCAGACATGCTGTTGTAAAGAACAGGCAGTACATGTAAAAAGAACGCAGATATCTTCCCAACACATTTCAAGAATAAATTAATAACAACAGCAGTCCAAGGGAAGTATGGTGGAGCTCAAAGGGAAGTTTGGTGCAGCTCAAAGAAAAAAATTCAGTGTAGTTTTAGTGCCAAAAGACTATAGACTAATGGGGATTTCAAAACTTTAGTAGTTTTATTCCTAGATAAAGACATATTTGTTCATGAAAAAAACTGAAGAAAAAGCTTTGAACAATGATTGATATTTGAAGCCTGCCAGTCCCTCTTCTTTAATTGTTTTAATTACCATTTAGAGCAAAACAGCTAAACCAGTAATTGAGCCATCCATTAAACCAATGATACACATAGCATTCAAAGATAGTTCTTCCAAAAGTAATACTCTAAAACACTGATAGTCTTCAACAATCACAAACAGCTAAAAGAGAGACAAAGAACAATTCAACTTCTCTAACTACTCCACTCTCACCCTACCACTTCTTAATATTTACATGTCCTGTATCATATATACTGGGACAGGAAGCTATCAAAAACGATGCCATTATTGAGACTGCAATCACGACATTGTCTCACTTCTTGTTTTAATGAAATTGTTTCATTTGACCTTGACTGATGCAAAAACGGTTTTATTCAAGGATGATTCTGAGACCACAGCTACTTCCTACCAGTGCAGTTGATGCAGTGTATGCAATCCATGAATGCTTGTGTTTTGATGCACAGTCTGGGGTGAATTGCACTCATAAGAATGAAAAATGGATTTCAGTAATAGCAGTCAGTAAGAACAGTTTTCTTCTAAAATGCTACAAAGATAAAGGACATGATTTTTTCCCTGTTTTAATTTTCAGTGGCAGTGCTAAATGTCATGTATTTCATTGCATGCCTTTCACATTCTAAGTATCTTGGACTTAGCTCAGAGTTCTGAATATCATGTAAATTATGTAAATCTTCAGGCTTAAATGTAAGCTTGGTATCCTCTGAAGACACTGTCTACTTCTAAAGTTTTTCTTGCCAGTCTGAAATGTTTGGAATGGAATCACAGAATCATAGAATGATAGAGTTGTAGGGGTTGGAAGGAAACTCCGGAGATCATCGAATCCAGCCTCTCTGCTGAAGCAGGTTTCCTACAGTAGATGACACAGGAAAGCATTAGGGTGGGTTTCGAATATCTACAGAGAAGGAGACTCCACAACTTCTCTGGGCAGCCTCTTCCAGTGCTTTATCACCCTCAAAGTAAAAAAGTTTTTCCTCATGTTTGTCTGGAACTTCCTACATTCCAGTTTGTACCCATTTCCTTGTCTTCTGTCACTCAGCACCACTTAAAAGAGTCTGGCCCCATCCACTTCTCTTCTGCTCTGTAGATATTTATAAGCATTGATAAGATACCCTCTCAGCCTTCTCCATGCTGAAGAGCCCCAGGTCTCTCATTCTTTCTACATAAGGGAGAGGGTCCAGGCCCATAACCATCTTTGTGGCCCTTTGCTTGATTCTCTTTGGAAGTTCCTTGTCTTCCATGAACTGAAGAGTACAGAATTGGACAAAGTACTCCAGATGTTGTTTAACCTGGGCAGAGTAGAGGGGAAGATAACCTCTCTCAGTCTGCTGATCATGCTCTTATTAATGCACCCCAGGGTACCACTGGCCTTGATCACAAAAGCAAGGGAGAAAAAAGATGGGAAAGGAATGAAAAAGAGGGGAGAAGAGAGGAGTTGAGTTGGAAGGGAACTGCAAAGATCATCAAAACCAACTATCTGACCACTTCACACCTAACCAGAAGCTAAAGCATACTACTGAAAACACTGTCCAAATGCCTCTTGAACACCTAAACACTCTAGGAAGCCTGTTCCAGTGTTTGACCAAATAAACTTTTCATTGCATCCTGCCATCAGTGATAAGGTCAGAACTCAGCACTTCCATCTGCCTCCCCTCATCATGGTGCTACAAAGAGCAGTGAGATTGCCTTTCAGGTTCCTCTTCTCCAGACTAGACATTTCAAGAGTCCTCAGCATCTCCTAACAGGACATACCCCCCCAGCCCTTTTATGAGACTTACTGCCCTCCTGTGGATTTAAAGTACCTTAAGATCATTTTTATGTTGTGAAGCCCAGAAATGCATGCAGTATTCAAGGTGAGGTTACACCAACACTAAATATAGAAGTGAGAATAAATTACTCCAAACCACAGCATAGTACCTTCTCTAATATCAGTCAGTTTGTTCTTTCCAGGCTACCAAATGCTAATGTCCAGCCACACTAGGCAGTGGTCACATAACAGTTGCCTGTCAGGAAGACAAATAGAATTGGTTGGATGCCTGGTTATAAGTAATTAATTATAAATGGATATCATCCATAAAAGATAGGACATTCTGTCATTTCCCTTTTCATATACTAGCTGAAGTACATTTGGAGTCATTAGTTGGTACTCACTAGTAGGTATGTCAGATAGAAATGTCATCCAATTTTCCCTTCGTTAAAAATGTTTTCTGAGAGTCTTCTGAAACTCTGTTCTTCTAATTCCATTAGATGACATTTGGACTGACTAGTGAATCCATGAGAATGTGCAGATCATAGACATGAGCAAACTAGTGTACACCATTTCATTTCTAAACAAAATTAATAGATGTATTAGATCTAGTTTTAATTTGAATAAATCTATCTAATTTTAAAGACATATACAAGTAGTGCCACAGATATGAATGAAGATGAGATTACACCGTCACTTTGGTGAAGCTTGCTCTCTGTCATACAAATTTTCTTTGTCATCATAAAGAGAGAGTAGACATTTTTCCCCTGCATAACTGCTGTAAGATGTCTGTGAAAGAATTTAATTCCATAGGGAAGCCAATTATATATATCACACATGGTATAGCTTTGGAAATAATAGTGCTGCTTGTTAATTTCTGAAAGTCATTCAATTGCATGTTATTTTAATTTAAAAAAGTAATCCAACAGGCAGTGCAGATGTGACAAGTATGTATTTGAAAACCTTATAGTTCTTCATTCAATATACTCATGCCAGAAATAACGACAATGTGGTGAATAGTGCAATCCAGATGACACAGATCAATACAGAAGCTTTTTATGAGCACCCATTGCAGCCAACCGGCACAGTGAAGGCACAGGACTATAAAATCACTGCTTATTTAAGGGTACAATTGTTTTCTAAAAAGTGAAACAGGCAAGAGTCATTTTTATTGCAAAATAGTGAAAATTGGAAGTGCAAATAGTGCCTTCCTTTTAACCAACGGACATAACCAAAATCAGAATGCTGGCAGAGCGTTTTACTACCCCAGTAGTGTTAATGCCACTGTTTTTCTCTAAACATTGCAACACATACTCAATATTGTATAAATGGCTAACTGATTCCTAAAGTGTGAAATTCTTGGAACTGAACTTTGGTGAATCTTTGAGATTGGCAATATAGCCCAGCAATTCTTAAAAGATGTATAGAGAAAAGACCTCCATGTTCATCAGTGCGGTAAATGCTTTAGAAAGTTCACAAAGCTCCAACTCTATTTGTCAGGCTGCCAAGTAACTGTTTCACTTTGCTTCACCTGTGTATACATGCATCTCCCCACATATTATCATAGACATTTCTCTGTGTTCCCTTCCAAGAGCAATCCAACTACGCAACTACTGCTTGCAGAGCTGCTATCAGTTATTGAAAGCTTTGAAAAAATCAAAGTCATTAACTTGATGTGTGGACTTATTCAAGAGACATGCAACAAACAGAATAATTTAACTGAACTAGAGCATTGTGCTTTTTCTGGCTTCTGTGCTGATTAAGTGAGCTATGTTACCCTATGTTACCCACTGTCTGCTTTTCCTACACTAGTGTAAGGTCATATAAAATTATGGCCAGTTTCTCACATGATAAACAAATACTGAAAAGTGGGAAAGTTTCACAAAATTTTGTTATCAATACTGAGAATAGCTGCTAGATAAAGACTAGAGAAAGTTACTGAGAAACACAGAGTTTAAAGAATTTTTGAACTTGAATGTCATGTGTAGTCCTCATGTTGAATATTCAACTTTTAAATAAAAATACCCTAGTGGTTACTCAGTGCTTTCTCAGAAATATCACAATAACATAATTATTAGAAGCAAAAGGAGAAGTGAAACCAAACTGCCTTGCCTGTTTACATCCTGGTAAAACTGACAACTTTCAAACTTCTTATGTGTAGAATATTAAATCACTGAGATATGTCCTTTGTTATCATGCACTTTGCATTGTGCTAGCATTACTTATGAGATTTTCTTTCCATTGCTTCAAAAAAGGTGTGCATGTATTATGGAGAGCTATGAAGAAAGGAAACCGAAACCTCAGAGGAGACAACGACAGATAAAATATTTTCTTTAGGATAAATAACTCATTGCAAATACGTTTAAGATACAGACTGAACATTCTGTTAAGGGAAAAGAGGAACACACCTGTGAAAAGCCGATCACTTCTCCACTTTCATCGAGCACATTGAAATTAATGATTGGACCTTGGACATCTGGACTGCTGAAATCTGTGTCACTGTAAAGACGTACTACAGGTGCCCCGTTGGCATATTTTAGGGTAGACAGCACAGTATAGGTGTAGTGAGCTAATGCAAACGTATGCTGTTTTATTTTCTCCATTCCACCTGCAAAAAGAAAAGTGTGTGTACATATCAGATACCTTATTTTTATGAAAATATTTTTCAGAACAGAGTAAATGGTAGGCAACTAGCACAAAACCAGTATGCTTGGATTCTTTCAAATTAATGTACAGTTTGAAAATATTTATCTCCTCCTACAAAAACTCCTGTTGCACTGCTTATCTACAATTGATCTGCTGTAGAAATCTAAAGTTACACTGAAATGGATTCACAAGCATTACAACACCAGCATATAGTTCCGGCATATACACAGCACTAAAACCTTCTGGCACAATTAATTTGAAAAGCAGGCTTTGCTTCAGGTTTCCCTCTGCAGATGGTAGGAACGAGGTATCAACCCTTACATAGCACAGAAACTAAACTGTTACATCTAAGATAAAAATAATATTCTGAAAAAAAAGATAAAATACAAGTCTCAGTCCACAAGCAATTAACTGAATATTGAAAAAAGTATCCTTCTAAGCCTGTTCCTTTTTTTTTTTTTTTTTTTTTTTTAAACAAGAAAAAGGATGTGAACACTTTACTGACAGCACCCATTCTACGTATTTGCTCTAGAGAAATTTTGCAGAAATGTTTTCACAGGACTTATCCTGGAAAAAGCATAAAGAAGGAATATACTGTCATTCTTTGCCTCTTTATTTTTTCTACATAGAGCAGTTTGGAAAAGAGAACTGCACATATTTCCTAGCAGATGGAGACCTCTGCTACATCTCTGCTTTTTGAGAGAGTTGCATCTCTGTTAGATGTCCCAATCAAAATGACATCTTGTTCTCAGATATGCCATGCAATGACATACCATGATCATATACAGTCTCTGGAATATTTTAATTCACTGCAGAAAGCTAAAACATAAGCTTCAGATACAAAACAAGTCATTTCAGGAGAATACATCTAATCAGAAAGGATGAGGCAGGTTGTTGTATTAGCCAGAATAAACCACTGACAAGAGGGCAGCTACTGGGTAGGAAAGTAAAGATCTTGTAAGTAGAGGTATAACAATATGATTTATTTAACAGTAATTTATCCACACAACAAGAAAAGCATGAGTAATCTTCAAAATAATAACTGAAATCAGTGAATTTGCATCTAGATAATTAGATGGTAACAATATGATCTCAAACTATTTCAAGCAACACAGGCAGATTTCCGTATCCTAATGTTAAATCCAATCAACTTGCTACTGAAGACAGCTGAAGTTTCAGCTGAAAATCCAAAGACCTTTCAATTTCTCATCTTATTTGTTGCAGTATGATGGACCTACATCACATGGAAAAAAATACATATTTTTTCTTCAAAAGCCTTATGAAGCATAATAGTATTTTTCTGCCCTGGATTTAGACCCAGAGAATTTTCTGTAATGATGAGTATCATAGTTGAGGTACGTGAATATTTTTGATACGTTAAATGACACTTGACATTTTCTTTTAATTTCTGTTTTAAACCACATATCTGTGAAACTCACACTTACATGCATATCATGTTTATACCTGAAAATCATTTTTATATTTGAATATCTGGAAACTTCTACTGTTTTATATAATTTACCTTGAACAAAAATCCTGTAATCTGCTTATTGACTTTGATACATTTATGTGTAAAAGTCATATATTTGGATGTATAAGAAGGAAAGAATAAGGTATCTTTCTGTTGAGATACAGAAAAATTACAGCACCACTTGTTAGTTTACTCTTCTTGACATTTCTGTATTGTGTGCTTTCTCCTTCAGGTAAGTACAGACAGCAGAGAGTAAAAGCACAAGAACAGATTAGACATGAGGAAGAAGTGTACACTTCTGGTGCTGAAGAATAATGAAGAGGAATAAAATATTTAATGAGATTCTAACTCATGAAGCACTTTCGAGGAGCATTGCCAGAAGCTAATCAGTACAATTTCTAGATGTTAGCCACAATAAACTTGGCAAGCATGTCTAGAACACTTCGGTCCGAAAGACAATTTCTATTTTCATCATCTTTCAGACGAAAAGAATTGCTGAAATAAGAAATGTCCTCATCATTGTTTAATAGAAGTTAAGAGTGTTGGGAAAAAAAAAAAAAAAAAAAAAGGCTATTTTCTAGCAATTGCCAGAAAGTAGCTGTCTTAAGAGAAGTGACTGCCTTGTCAGCTTCTGAGATGTCTGTAATCTCCTGATTCAGAGCTTTTCCAAATTGGCAGGAATCTTTTAATGGAAGATTAAACTACTGTCATCGCTTCTTGTTGAAGAAACCTCTTATTCAGAAATTTCAGTCTCTCATTCACAGCAATCATCCTGCTATCATATCTATATTGTTTTCAGCCATTCTCTTTTAAAGTTGCTTAATCACATTTCCTTGTTCATTAGTGAGAAGCTGATGAGCCTCTTCATTATTTATTCTGACAAATCCAAATGCAGTACCCTGCAGTTGCTTTGCTGCCCTGTGATTGGAAAGAGGAAGCGGTGTTGCCAGGGTCCCATATTTTTAAGCAGCAGAATAGGTTGTGATTAGGTTTGCAATGTCAAAAGACCTGCAAAACAAATGCCAGCAATATGAAGTTTGTTCTGACTGAAAAAGGGACATATTTAGTAAATAGCTGTGATTTATTTTTATTTTGCTCAACAAAATCATCTCTACTATCTCCAGCATAAATTCTGCGCTTACCTCATCTCTCTCTACACATTAGATAAAGGAATATAAGGAAAACAAAAAAAAAAGACAGAACAAATCTTTGGTCTCCAGTGTGATCTAAGGACCTGCATTACTGCATATAGTCTCACATGTAGGATGACAAAAGCACAGCTGAACCTGTGTGAGATAAGTGAGAAGATAATATGGTTTACTTGCCACTGATTAGCATACTGCATTCCTGCATTTTGCCTACCAGCTACACAGATATCTGGTTTTATATCTAGTTCCTTAGCTTTGAATACCTTGGAGACTCCCTTAGCTGCCTATCTGCGGCTAAAAGCAGTAGCACACCTTAAGCCTCTTGAAAGACTTACATCTTGGTTTGGATAAACCATCTCAACTTCAACTTGAAAAGGTGATGGAAGGACTCAAATGCTTTGACTCTCTAACACTTTATGGATGTTAATTCTTACACTGGCATTGTTTCACTAAGATGAACTGCATCTGGTTCCTCCTGAGAATTATTCTAAATAAAGAACAATTTATGAGCTCGTTATTTTGGATCAGAATGAAATCTGATGTAGTCTAAAGTACATCAGATGAAGTCTATAATATTATTTACAGTATGTACGTGTAGAGACAAAACCAGCACCAAGGATGCTCACAGGGCACAATCTGCATTTAATAATGATTTCTTCCTTGATACAAATGTAAGGACTTTGCTGTGTAAATATAAACTCCGGCATTTCTGTGGATTAATATGCCTCTTATTACTGTGTGTGTATGTTTTGACTTTACATCAAGCCAGACAGGATCATATCATTAATTCTCTCCCTTGTAACACATCAGTTTTCACATTATTTACTGCCATAATGAATGCCATATCTTTTGCAGTAGCAAAATTACTGAGCAGAAAAGATTGACACAAAAGCTTTTACTTCTGTGCAAAAACTTCCTTGCTAAAGTGTTCTATTTAACCTATGAAGATGTTATTAAACCTAACATTACTGATGTACATCTGCAGACTACAGCATCCAGACAAGTTAGCACCATCTCAGACCTATCATTTCACTGTCTTTCAGCTTGGCTACCATCACAGAAAGAGGTACTGCTCCAGTTTGGACAGTTCAGAGTGCCAAGGATCCTCTTCTGCATATTTTGGTACACTGTTGAATACTTGTAATGCTGGCTAGTCACTAGTACAAACAGTGTAGCAGGTGGCAGTCATGTGGGGAGCACATGATATTTGCAGGTGCTCACTGCAGGTGCTCATGTTTTTTCACATGGATATGGATCTAACCGCACCTATACTGAGGTCTTCATCACCACCTCAGGGGACTTTTCACCAGATCTTGCTGCCCGTTAAATGTTTTGAGATTTTTGGAAGGCTAAACAAAAATGTTTTCTTTCTTCTAAATATAATCAGAGAATAAACATTCCAGTAAACATTTCTTTCAGAAATGCATGTCTTCAAAGGCACCTCCCTTTGAAATATGTGTTTATCTGTCCAAAGACAGATCAGTTCATTCAAATCAGTAAAGCCTTATTTCTTGGAAAAGACCAAGTGTGGAAACTGCTGAGGTCCCATTCTGTCAAAATTCAGCAAGGCAGGAGATGAGAACATATTAATAAATTGCTTTTTCCCACTTTTTTCTTCTTGTTTTTGGAACTTGGAAAAGTCAAAAAGGAAAAGTCTCCAGGTCTCACTCATTTAGCTGACATCTGTGTGGTACTTTGAATTCAGTAGTGGCATGTCAGTAAATCACTCACAACTCAAGATCAGGCTTAATATTCCAAAAAGATGAATTCTAGATTAGAATGAAAGTATCTGAAGCCTCAGAAAAGAAATCTGAAGAATAGTGTATTTAATTCAGGAACGTGAACACGGGCAGAACAGTACAACTATACACTTCTGTTCCGTTTTCAGTGTAAAAAAGGATTATATCTAAAATAAATTCCCAATATTTAGAGAAGAAAAATAGACTTAACAATTTTATTCCAAGCAAATTTGATACAAGATTTGGATGTCAACAGGAATTTCTTTTTGTTTCCTCTATTAAATCTGGCATCCTTCCGTTTTCTAAGCTCTCATTGCTGGAGCAGTGACAAGGAACAAGTTTGCTAAGTAACAAAATTGACCGAGAGAGAACAATATTCCTTACCTTTCTTAGGTATGCACATGAGAGCACCCTAATACTGGGCAACTGATAGATAAATTTTCTATGTCACCTTTTTCATAGTGCGTGCGTATGTGCATATTCTTATTTACAGAGACTATGGTACACGTTAGTTTTCAGAAAGAGCAAGATAACTCACATTTAGAAGAGGGAAAGAAAACTGGATTCAAACTCTAAGATGTACAATTTTCACCAAGGTACTCTA